AGTAGGTGGGTTTGTCACTACAGTAGCTAGTAGGTGGGTTGTCACTACAGTAGCTAGTAGGTGGGTTGTCACTACAGTAGCTAGTAGGCGAGTTGTCACTACAGTAGCTAGTAGGTGGGTTGTCACTACAGTAGCTAGTAGGCGGGTTGTCACTGCAGTAGCTAGTAGGCGGGTTGTCACTACAGTAGCTAGTAGGCGGGTTGTCACTGCAGTAGCTAGTAGGCGGGTTGTCACTGCAGTAGCTAGTAGGCGGGTTGTCACTACAGTAGCTAGTAGGCGGGTTGTCACTACAGTATCTAGTAGGCGGGTTGTCACTACAGTAGCTAGTAGGTGGGTTGTCACTACAGTAGCTAGTAGGCGGGTTGTCACTGCAGTAGCTAGTAGGCGGGTTGTCACTACAGTAGCTAGTAGGCGGGTTGTCACTACAGTAGCTAGTAGGCGGGTTGTCACTACAGTAGCTAGTAGGTGGGTTGTCACTGCAGTAGCTAGTAGGCGGGTTGTCACTACAGTAGCTAGTAGGCGGGTTGTCACTACAGTAGCTAGTAGGCGGGTTGTCACTGCAGTAGCTAGTAGGCGGGTTGTCACTACAGTAGCTAGTAGGCGAGTTGTCACTACAGTAGCTAGTAGGTGGGTTGTCACTACAGTAGCTAGTAGGCGGGTTTGTCACTGCAGTAGCTAGTAGGGCGGGTTGTCACTACAGTAGCTAGTAGGCGGGTTGTCACTACAGTAGCTAGTAGGCGGGTTGTCACTACAGTAGCTAGTAGGCGGGTTGTCACTACAGTAGCTAGTAGGCGAGTTGTCACTACAGTAGCTAGTAGGCGGGTTGTCACTACAGTAGCTAGTAGGCGGGTTGTCACTGCAGTAGCTAGTAGGTGAGTTGTCACTACAGTAGCTAGTAGGTGGGTTGTCACTACAGTAGCTAGTAGGCGGGTTGTCACTACAGTAGCTAGTAGGCGAGTTGTCACTACAGTAGCTAGTAGGCGAGTTGTCACTACAGTAGCTAGTAGGCGAGTTGTCACTACAGTAGCTAGTAGGTGGGTTGTCACTACAGTAGCTAGTAGGTGGGTTGTCACTACAGTAGCTAGTAGGTGGGTTGTCACTACAGTAGCTAGTAGGCGAGTTGTCACTACAGTAGCTAGTAGGTGGGTTGTCACTACAGTAGCTAGTAGGTGGGTTGTCACTACAGTAGCTAGTAGGCGGGTTGTCACTACAGTAGCTAGTAGGCGAGTTGTCACTACAGTAGCTAGTAGGCGGGTTGTCACTGCAGTAGCTAGTAGGCGGGTTGTCACTACAGTAGCTAGTAGGCGGGTTGTCACTACAGTAGCTAGTAGGCGGGTTGTCACTACAGTAGCTAGTAGGCGAGTTGTCACTACAGTAGCTAGTAGGCGGGTTGTCACTACAGTAGCTAGTAGGCGGGTTGTCACTGCAGTAGCTAGTAGGCGGGTTGTCACTACAGTAGCTAGTAGGTGGGTTGTCACTACAGTAGCTAGTAGGTGGGTTGTCACTACAGTAGCTAGTAGGGCGGGTTGTCACTGCAGTAGCTAGTAGGCGGGTTGTCACTACAGTAGCTAGTAGGCGAGTTGTCACTACAGTAGCTAGTAGGCGGGTTGTCACTGCAGTAGCTAGTAGGCGGGTTGTCACTACAGTAGCTAGTAGGCGGGTTGTCACTACAGTAGCTAGTAGGCGGGTTGTCACTGCAGTAGCTAGTAGGCGGGTTGTCACTACAGTAGCTAGTAGGTGGGTTGTCACTACAGTAGCTAGTAGGTGGGTTGTCACTACAGTAGCTAGTAGGTGGGTTGTCACTACAGTAGCTAGTAGGTGGGTTGTCACTGCAGTAGCTAGTAGGCGGGTTGTCACTGCAGTAGCTAGTAGGCGGGTTGTCACTACAGTAGCTAGTAGGCAAGTTGTCACTACAGTAGCTAGTAGGCGAGTTGTCACTACAGTAGCTAGTAGGTGGGTTGTCACTACAGTAGCTAGTAGGTGAGTTGTCACTACAGTAGCTAGTAGGTGGGTTGTCACTACAGTAGCTAGTAGGCGGGTTATCACTGCAGTAGCTAGTAGGCGGGTTGTCACTACAGTAGCTAGTAGGCGAGTTGTCACTACAGTAGCTAGTAGGTGGGTTGTCACTACAGTAGCTAGTAGGGCGGGTTGTCACTGCAGTAGCTAGTAGGGCGGGTTGTCACTACACTAGCTAGTAGGCGAGTTGTCACTACAGTAGCTAGTAGGTGGGTTGTCACTACAGTAGCTAGTAGGCGGGTTGTCACTGCAGTAGCTAGTAGGCGGGTTGTCACTACACTAGCTAGTAGGCGAGTTGTCACTACAAGTAGCTAGTAGGCGGGTTTTGTCACTACAGTAGCTAGTAGGTGGGGTTGGTCACTACAGTAGCTAGTAGGTGGGTTGTCACTACGTAGCTAGTTAGCTGAGTTGTCACTACAGTAGCTAGTAGGCGGGTTGCTCACTGCAGTAGCTAGTAGGCGGGTTGTCACTGCAGTAGCTAGTAGGCGGGTTTGTCACTACAGTAGCTAGTAGGCGGGTTGTCACTACAGTAGCTAGTAGGTGGGTTGTCACTGCAGTAGCTAGTAGGCGGGGTTGTCACTGCAGTAGCTAGGTAGGCGGGTTGTCACTACAGTAGCTAGTTAGGCGAGTTGTCACTACAGTAGCTAGTAGGCGAGTGGTCACTACCGTAGCTAGTAGGTGGGTTGTCACTACAGTAGCTAGTAGGTGAGTTGTCACTACAGTAGCTAGTAGGTGGGTTGGCACTCAACTACAAGTAGCTAGTAGGGGCGGGTTATCACTGCAGTAGCTAGTAGGCGGGTTGTCACTACAGTAGCTAGTAGGCGGGTTGTCACTACAGTAGCTAGTAGGCGGGTTGTCACTGCAGTAGCTAGTAGGCGGGTTGTCACTACACTAGCTAGTAGGCGAGTTGTCACTACAGTAGGCTAGTAGGGTGGGTTGTCACTACAGTAGCTAGTAGGCGGGTTGTCACTGCAGTAGCTAGTAGGCGGGTTGTCACTACACTAGCTAGTAGGCGAGTTGTCACTACAGTAGCTAGTAGGTGGGTTGTCACTACAGTAGCTAGTAGGTGGGTTGTCACTACAGTAGCTAGTAGGTGGGTTGTCACTACAGTAGCTAGTAGGTGGGTTCGAAACCCGAGCCCGCCGAAGTTTTCACGCAATGTCTTCCCCAATGTAACACCCTCTCTGGAATAAAGGCATTCTGGCCCGCCAATTGAACAGCCCTGCACTACACGTTGTCGGGCTGCACGATTTATCGCCGGCCCGGCTAAAGTAACTGGACGGCCTACCTGCCTGTCAGCCTTCCATCTGTGCACAAACTTATCTCGTGCCCTCATTGGTCATGTGCGCGTGCGTGTGTGTTGGAGGAGGGGCTCTGTGAGGAAGTGGCAGATTTGTTCCGGCTGTGTATTTTCAAATTCTAGCGCACTCGAGCTGGTTTCTCCAAAATGACCTTCCCCACCTTTAAGTGTAAAATCATGTGATACGTTTTTCTTAGTTGGCAGTTTGTGTTCAGTTAATCCGACCTGTCATGAGCACTGCATTCGAGCAGACAAGGAGATGTATTGAATCGGTGTCTTTATCACTTTTTCAACCACTTATTTCTTTACTTGCTTTAGTCATGTCACATCATGACGAGTATGACTTTGCACATTTGTCACATTTACTCCGTGTCCACACTAGTCTATAGTGTATTCATATGTCTACTATTGTCTAGTGTCTATATGATACTGTTTATATTTCTACTACTACTATATTCAATATGTACTGCTCTTAGTGTGTCTACCTATGAATAATGTTCATACTCTATTCTAATGACTCGGGTTGTGAAAGTGTCATTTGTGCTTTACGAAGTCTGAGAAAACGACTTCAAAGGACTCAGTTGAGTTATCCAGAATTGCGTTTATACTACAGATCATTAACAAAAAGACTGTAGGTGTTAAATAAATGTCTGCTCTGATTGGTAAGCGGGCCGGCTATCATGTGATTGTAAAAACAGCTATCGAGGCATGAAGGGAGCATTTCCCGTACAAGGACACATCTCCAATACCTTGCCTAAAGGGGGGGGCTTGATCGTTTAATTTCTGTTGTGACTTCCTGTAAATGTGCCTTAAGTAGTAGGGGGGGGGGGGGGGGGGGGGGGCGGCTATGTTAGTGTGAGTTCCCAGGTGGTAATGGCCCACTGATTGCTAATGCGTATGTAAGAAAACAGCTATGGTGGTTTGAAGTGAGTATTTCCCGTACAAGGGACACATTTTCAGGTTAAACGGGCTGGCTGGTTTCATTTCTGTTGTGACTTCCTGTAATTGTGCCTTTTGGAGGAGGGGGAGGGGGAGGGCTATGTTAGTGTGAGTTCCCAGGTGGTAATGGCCTACTGATTGCTAATGAGGTCTCAGTACAGCTAATGCACACAGCTAACTAAGTGTCGCCGACGGTAAAACATTCCAAGCTACGACTTGATGTACGGTGTTCTGGGCCAGCGCCAGTCATCCTCTCACAAATCATGTACACGTCCGGGCTAACGGCCATTCCTAACTGTTTACGATGCATCACATCTTCCCCGCTCCTAATGTAGGCACTTTGTGTAACCAGTTGCAAGTACACCTCTTTTGTGTGCTGTGATAAGCGCTGCATGTTAATGTCTGTCTCAGGCACTTTCTTTTGAACCTGCACCTTCACAACAGCCATGACAATTAGTGTGTTTCATTGAACATGCTATTAAACCTCCTAACTGCACACAGGTTTTGCGACATCTAAATAAGTACTCTTTATTAGTTTGTAGTGAATTACTCTCTCTTCATGTGTGTGTTGGAGGAGGGGCTCTGTAAGGAAGTGGCAGATTTTTTTCTGGCTGTGTATTTTCAAATTCCAGCGCACTCGAGCTGGTTTCTCCACAATGACCTACCCCACCTTTAATGCTGCTGATCGTTTTGGTCACTCCGAATGTGATCTGAATTGTTAACACGGTTTCATCTCTCTTCCCAGGTCAGCTGCAGCCACATCAGCAAAATGGCTACCAGCCCCAGCCCCAGATACCCCAGGGCTACCAGCCCCCCCAAGGCTACCTCCCCCAGCAGCACCCTCACATGATGCCAAGGCCCCCTCAAACTGTTCCTCAACACATACCCCCCACTTCTCAGCCTGCACCTCCTACATCCCAGCCCTACATGCCCCACCAACACCAACACCAACAGATGCCCCCTGGACTTCCTCACCCACACATGATGCCCCAACAGCAGCAGATCCCTCCCCACCCACAAATGCACATACCAGGCGGTCCCAGAGTACAAATGCCCCCCACAAGTCAGCAAATGCCCCCGGTCTCCCAGCACTACATGCCCCCCGGTAACCAGCCCCTTCACCCCAACATGCGGCCACAGATGCCTCCAGCCTCACAGCCTCATATGGTCCACATGCCGAGGGGCCCCATGCCACAGATGCCCCCTCACCACCACCCCGGACAGCCTCCAATCACAAACATGCCCCAGCAGCCCATGCAGATGCCCGGTCAGGCTCCGCCCCCTCATCCTGGGGGGATGTGCTACCCTGGAGGGTCTCCGATGATGCCTCAGCAGCCTCTGGCCCCCCAGCATGCCGCCCCCCAACAACCTCAGGCTCCCATGATTCACCCGCAGCCCTCTCCTATGTACCCCCCAGCTGCAGGACCTAATGTACCCCCGAGTGCCCCCCAGCAACCGCCTGCCATGGGTCCACACATGCCCCCCCGCCCAACACATGATGCAGCCCACTCCTGGAGGCCCTTCAGTGCCTCAGCCTCCCAACAATGTCCCTCCTTCCCCATCTCCTTCCCCCTCCCCATCTCCCTCCCCAGGTCCTACCTCTCTGAGTCTGAATCCCCAGCAGAGACCCACACCAGCCCCCCCCCCCGGGAGCTCCTCCCACCCTCCCCTCCCCCTCCACTGCCTCTCCCTCCACCTCTCTGTTTCAGCGCCAGAACTCAAGCACGGACGACCTTCTCTCTTCGAGCCCTGAGAGCATTCCCGGAGGCACCAAGCCCCCCACCAACGTGCTCCAGCCCACCAAGGCTGACCCCCAGGACGGGAAGAAAAGCTCCCAGGCGGTGCTCCTGATCCAGGGAGACCCTTACCAAGCTCCAGAGCGCGTCGCCCGTCTTCACGGTGAACTGGAACGTTACCGGGCCAAGGTGGACTCCCTGGAGCAGCCCTCAGAGAGCGAGGGGGGGCTGTCGGTGCTGGACGCCCGCTGGAGAGAGCTCCAGGACCAGCAGGAGAAGGACGCGCGCCAACGCTCCATCGCTATCGCCCGCTGCTACACCATGAAGAACCGTCACCAGGATGTGATGCCCTACGACCTGAACCGTGTATTGCTGCAGTCGGGGAAGGACGACTACATCAACGCCAGCCTGGTGGAGGACCTGTCTCCGTACTGCCCGCGCCTCATCGCCACGCAGGCCCCGCTCAGCGGCACCGCGGCAGACTTCTGGCTGATGGTGTACGAGCAGAAGGTGTCCCTGATCGTCATGCTGGTCTCAGAGCAGGAGCTGGAAAAGGTACCGAGTTCATTTAGTCTGCGCTGTGATTAATATGGTGTGCAGTTGCAAAAAGAAAATGTCAATAGGGTTGCAACATTTGGAAAGAAATGACTTCTGTGTTTATATCAAAGTTTATTTTTAGAAGCAGCTCCCGTAGATAAACCCTTTAAGTACAATGTTCTCACATCTGTCCTGCTGTTGCTTTCTGCTTTTAACACTTGCTTCTCTCTCTCTCTAACCAGGGGAAGGTTGTGCGATACTTCCCGACGGAGCGGGGCCAGCAGGTCGCTCAGGGGCCGATCACGCTCAGCCTCACCACGCAGAAGATGGCTCCGACTCACGTGGAGCGCATGATCAGCCTGCAGTACCGCGACCAGAGCCTGAAGCGCACCGTGGTCCATCTGCAGTTCACCTCCTGGCCCGAGCTGTGAGTGACGCCTTTTATTAACTAGTGTCTGTGGAAAAAGCACGTGGCTCTGATCCGTCGTAGAAATAGATGTTGATATTTGTCGCCAACCTTATTTTGTTTGGTTGGTTTATTGTTTTTATATATTTCTCATCAGGGGTCTTCCTGAAAGCAAGAGCAACCTGCTGCGCTTCATCCAGGACGTTCACGGACACTACCTGCACCAGAGGCCCCTACACACACCTGTTGTGGTGCACTGCAGGTGAGAAGACTGTTAGGACATGTTATTAACTTAATAGACACTTAACTTCAGTGTAGCTGGATATTCTAGAAACTGCTTTGGCTGGTGACTTGCCGGTATTTACAGTGACAATGAAAACAAAACACAGGTACTATAATTATCTTTTTGATGCTGTTAGTGATATAAATTATATACACTTAAATATTGTACAGCATTAATACATTTTTATTTAACTTTTAGATTGCCTCATTTGAATTTTTGATCGAAATCAGTGCTTATCAAAGTGTGGTGGTCCGTGAGCGCCCCCTAGTGGTCCGTGAGTATATTGGTACAATTTCACATTAGAAATAAATTAATTAATTTAAGTTTTCCGCACTCTCGCGGGAATATCTCCTCAATGGAGCGAGCTTAAGTTTCACTTTTGATTGCATGATATAGCCCCTTGCAACACCTTCATCACACATGTTGCCACTTGTTTGTACCATTTTCAGGCAATTTGTAAAAAACGATGTGTTTTTGGATATTTGTGGAGTTAGGTGGTCCGCGAGTGTTTTTTTATTGGTTAAGTGGTTCTTGGTATGAAAAAGTTTGAGAAACACTGATCTAAATGATGCAGATTTTTCTTAAAACAACAACAGTTCAAAAAACTCAACAGATACACAATTTGAATACAATCTGTTAACCCTTAGTGGGTAAGTAAGTGGGTAAGTGGGTCTTTTTTGACCCGGTGAGGTGGTTTTCTTTAATTATCTTTGTAATTACTTTTTTTTATCATTTCATATTCCAGCTATTCCTCAAAGAACATGTTTTGGATATCATGCCATTCACATTTAAAATGTACATTTTAAGAAATTGTAGTTTTTGTATTTCTACCTCAAGCTTCCATAAGTGGGTCAAAAATGACCCGCATGCATTTTCTATGGGATCCTTCGATTCTTCTCACCTGTGGCTGTCAGGAATACATTCACTGTGGACCACACAGACGACATCACAAGTGACACCTCTCAGGAAGATTATTGTACACAGCAAGATCTGATACCTGTCAGTATCATAATAATAATACATTATATTTGTTTAGGGCTTTTCAAGGACTCAAAATCGCTTTACAATCTAAGGGAAGGTTAGGGTGGGGGGTATAGGACTATCAAACTTGATCAACCGGCATGGATTGATGGGGGGTGGGCTATGAGTAGACAAGAGGAGAAGAGATGAGTTTTGAAAAGGGACTGGGATACTGTGAGGGTCTCAGAATAACGGAGATCTTTGCATCAATATGTTCAAAACGTTTTTTTTCAAAATGTAAAGTTCTAAATAGTGAAAAATTAAATATAAAATATTTCTAGTGTGAACCAAAATATAATACTAAATATTATACAAGTAATTTTTCTTAACCAAAATGGCATAACAAACACATATTATTCTAATACGGGTCCTTTTAGACCCACTTATGGAAGAGAGTAGGGTCCAGTCACTCTAAGGGTTAAGTAAACAGACCCTAGAGGGGATATTTGGTTGTTGCAGAAGCACTAGGTAAGAGCAAAGGCAAAGATGTATAGAGAAATAAACAATAAGAGGTATATGACATTGAAATAAGAAACAATACAAGAGCAATTTAGGAGGAAAGTACCAGTGTCATTAGTAGCAAGCAATGTCAACAAGATATGGCGTACATCATAAATAGCATCTTGAAACAATATTAAAAAAAGTGTGATTGTCTTTTACACGTTCAATTGACAGTACTCAGTGGATGGAGTTGAGCTCCTCAATGGTGTCAGTAGGAGTGTTTCTTATCAGCCGGTTGTCTGTGTCACTCAGCTCGGGGGTGGGACGCACCGGCGCCTTCTGCCTGCTGTACGCCGCTCTGCAGGAGCTGGAGGCGGGCCACGGGATCCCTGACCTGCCTGTGCTGGTGAAGAAGATGAGGCAGCAGAGGAAGAACATGCTGCAGGAGAAGGTCAGACACACACACACCTTTCTGATGGATATGGTGCATTGTAGCAATAATAATAATAATAATAATATCAGGGGGTCCGCGGGGTCTTAAAAAGTATTAAAAGTTGATAAATCAATTTAGCGAAAATGAAGGCTATTAAAAAGTATTAAAGGGTATTTTCCAAGGTTTTACATTTTGTAGCTTGTCTTCAATAAGTATATAAATGGTCCAAGAGAGGTTGTATTCTACAGTCTGCCTGAATGTAATCATTGCGTAGGTGTGTAGTGTGATTCTGTGTAGTTTATTGATGGCATCCCGTTGGATTTGACGTCATCTGAACAGGACATCGCGCGCTCACTGCTTGATAGCGCGCGAAGGTCCGTTTACGCCAGTTGCTAAGCAACATCGTTATGGGGAAATGCAAGTTTGTGTCCAAATGGTTAGAAGATAAGGAGGAAGGACAATCAATACTGTATATAGTCAATGTGAGGTAAAGTGTGTCGCCAAGGTAACCGGTTAAAATTCAAAATGGCGATGAGGTCTTAAAATGTATGGAAAGGGTTTTAAAAAAGGTCTTAAAAGGTTTACATCTGACTTCAGGATTCCTGCATATACTTTGAACAAAGCTTTATTTATATAGCACTTTTCATACAACACTAAATGACACATCTCAAGTTAAAAACAAACAACAAGAAATTCCCCTCAGATGATTGGTTAAGAACTTTAAAGGTACATGCAGCAAAATATAACGTTTTATCAGGTTAATAGACACATTTTATTAAAATAAAGAACGGTTTCTCTCCCACAGATAAGACACTGAGTCGATGCAACAATATAAAATATAACATTTGTATTCTTATTGTAACAGATAGATCCTGTACAGTTCATATTTAAAACAGCAGGACACACACTAATCACAAAGTCCTTGAAGGAGTGGACTCTCAGATATGACATTTGATTTGAATGCTCTCGTTGCTCCTGTCTGTAGCTCCACCTGAAGTTCTGCTACGAGACGGTGCTGAAGCACGTGGAGCAGGTCCTGCAGAGACACGGCATCACCACCCCCACCTCCACCCCCACCCCCACCTGCAGCCGGACCAAGGTCTGACTCTCAATACTTCATGTTTTCTTGTCTTTATATTCATGAACTCACTTGTGAACGTAGTAATAGATCAATGAAAAGGCCTGTTCTGAAGCTAGACTGTTTTGTCTGATTTGAATATAATAATAATCAATTTGATTTATAAGCGCACTTTTCATTTGAGTAAACAAAACTCAAAGTGCTACAGAGTAAAATGGTCGATACAAAACAACAACAAAAACATATATAATAAAGTAAACAGATTAAAAACAGTGACGGTTATGTCATATGATAAACTCTAGGTACCATAAACCTTGTACTTAAAACTATATTTAAAAATGGAATAACTACTACTTGTACTACATTGCTTATATATAGACATGCGTATTTCAACAACTGGTCAAATAAACCCCAACTTGACGAACGAAAAATGTTTAAATGAATTGATTTGGTAATCTGGGTCATCAGACTCTTCAGTAATTGTTTAACACACCTTTGAAGTCAGTAGAGTAGTATTCCTCTTGTGAACGCTTTCCTCTTATTCTCCCCCCAAACTGTTTATTAATGATCTTAGTTATAATGTTGTATTATTTCACATTTTGCTCACATGGTTGTTCCAAAGGAAATCTACGAGTTGTGGCCAGTCGAGGTACTGCTTCCATTTTCAGTAGAGCTGTCAGAGCAGCGTAGTCATTAGTGATAAATGAAGGTCATTAGTATTAGCTATTTAGGGAGCTTCAATATAAATCAGGCTGATCTATTATCCCTAAAAACCTACTTGTTCTCCCGTGCTTTTGCAGACCACGTATCAGTCTGTGTTTTCTACATTGGTGTTTTCTATTTTGTTGTGTTTTAAAATGTTTTTACATCGTGTATGAGGGTTTTCAGTCTGTGGCTATAAGTATGGTTTTATTGTAACGTGCTTTTACATTAGTTTATGTTTGTCCTATCGGTTTTGTCTAAATGTATTTATGCTGCTTTTTTATATATTTATTGATGTACAGCACTTTGGTCAACTCTGTTGTTTTAAAATGTGCTGTATACATAAAGTTGGATTGGATCCGATACAATTCATCCGAATGTTTTCTCTTTTCCCCCTGCTCTCTGCAGCCTTACTCCAGACAGGAGTCCCAGCAGGACATTGTCCTCGGTGGGGACATGCCCATCAGCTCCATCCAGGCCACCATCGCCAAACTCAGCATCCGCCCCCCCAGCGCCACAGACCCCTCATTGGAGGCCCCCTGCGGTGTGGAGGAGCACGTTGGCCCCGCTTTCGACTCTCTGAGTGACGTCCAGGCACCCCCCACAGAGCCCCCCTCCTCTTTGAGCCCTCCTCTCACCTCGCCCACTCACTCTCCACCCCCTAACGGCCTGGACGCCCCCTCCTCACCACCTGCTTCCCCCAGCGTCAGCCCTCCTCCTCCTCCAGCCTCCTCTGCTCCGGCTCCTTCCTCCCTGGAGCTCCTGGCCGCCATGACCCCCGAGGCCTTCTCCATGGAGGGCGGGGGCAAAGGGAAGCAGCGGGTGACCAAGCAGAGCTTCCTGCAGCCGGCAGAGGGTCAGGGGATCCACGGGACCCCCCGGGGGGAGGAAGGAGACGACCCCCTCGGCAGCCTGGACCCCCTGTGGAGCCTCGGGAAGCCCTGAGAGCAGAGCCTGTTTCCACTTTAACACCAGGCCTGTAGCGCTTTGTAATCCTGCTTTTTAAGTAGAAAAACACACTGAATCCTGGGACATTTTAGCAGAGTTGACCATGACGTGCCTGGTGGGGGCGGACGGCGGGGGTTCAGTCGTGAAGTTTGAAACACAAACACACTTTCCTTTCATCACCGGTGGCTTCTGGGAGCAGATCACTATGCACTCGTCTGTTTTCCTTCTGTCGCTCTTTGCTGCTTTTTATTTGTCTGTATGGATGTTCTGCACTCCCACATCTGGGCCCAGAAAGAAGAGAAAAAACCCAGCATGCACTCCACTTTCATTTGGTGTTTAACTGGAATAATGGATGCGTGGAGGTCATAGGAGCTGGGTGGAGCGATCTTGAAAACACCTTGAACTCAATCAGTGGTCACACAAATCAGCACGTCTTAACAAGTGTATTCGTTCTTTTCTTCCTCTGTAACACTGTAAATATCTTAATAAATAAAGTTAGACTATTCCCAATGTCCTTCTGGTAAATTTCACAAACTAATCATTCATTATTGTAAAGGAAAATGAAATAAATCCAGTAGACAAGACAGCTGTTGTGGTATCAAAGCCTCTTTATTTGAAAATTAGTACACAGTCTTGCACTTTTTTTTATGTTACAAAATTGTAAATAAGTTACCTTCACTTCTACTTGTTGCCAGCTGATGAAGGGAGGAGCAGAGCTGGGGGTTAGATTGGTATTTCTGTTTATGTCGAGCAACAAAGTGTTAAATATCTGCTTTTGTTATGAGGATGCTGCCACAGGAAGTGTTCATTTGCTGCTTTAACAACTTAAATCTTCAGAAGATGCATCCACAGACTTCTGATATGTTGACAGGATGAAAAGGTATGTTATAGCAGCAAAAACATAATTTACTAAAATAAATTGGACATTGATGGACAAATTCATGTTGGATATGGGTTGTTAAAAGTCCATATGTGATGAACAGAGACATCCAGGAGGCTAAGACTCAAGAAACACCAAATCAACCCTTCCTCCATTCCATAAGGAAATAGTTAACATTTTGGGAAATACTTTTATTCGCTTTATGGTGGAATTATAATAGAAGATTGATGCCATTTTATATAAGATTGAAAGCAAGCATTAGGTGATATATACACCAGAAATGAGGCAAAATGCTAATAAAATCAGCACTCATTAGATGGCTATTTAACATGTTAGATATTTTTGTGTTTGTTTTACAATTATCAGAGCAGTGGGATTATCAGTTTAGGTAATATCCAACATATTAGCACTAACTATCAAGAAATATATTGTTAAATATCGATAAAGTATAAAAACCATTGTCATGCTGAAGTGTATATAACCTACGTAAAGTAAGCTAACCGTTAGCTTGCTAAATTAACCGTTAGCTTGCTAAGTAAACCGTTATGACTACTTTTTAATATTTCAGTCACGGACTGCCATGAATATTGCATGTAAACTTAATTGTACAAGTGTTGAATATCGATCAAATGTAAAATAATTGTATATTGCGATACTCAAGTAAGTAAAAAATCTGTTTTCCCCTGGTTATTGCTGTAAAGTAAGCTCACCGTTAGCTTGCTAAATTAACCGTTAGCTTGCTAAGTAAACCGTTAGCTTAATATTAAAAAGGGTGGTATCAATCTTCTTATTTAACTCCTCCAGAAAGCGAATTATCATCAAGCATATTCTCCAAATCACTTCCAAATTTGACTTTGCAAGAAAACAAAAATCTAAAAACAACATGTCTAAAGCTTTCTCGACTAAAACATAAGCTAATACATTAACAGGCAACAGGTTTGGTTTCTCAGGGATGCAGTTCTGGGTAAATAACATGTTCACTCGGCTGCTTGTGATGAACATATTACATCACAGTGAAACCTCATCTGTAACGTGTGCGTGTTTAGTGTTTACTCGTGGAGCAAGTGTGTGTGTGTGTGTGTGTGTGTGTGTGTGTGTGTGTGTGTGTGTGTGTTGT